TCAGAATTGCCACTGGGTGGGGCCGCTGGCTGCAAATGGAAGCAGTTGTTTGGTAGATGAGGCTCTCCTTCAATTCCGCAACACCTCAACTGGCAGGAACGATCTCGGAATGACAAAGCCCGCCGCTGATTGATGGTGGCAGTCAAGTACAGGGAAGGACGGAGGGAGGAAGGCGAGAGTAGGGGGGGGAGGGGCAAGCAGATGTGATGGGGGACATACGGTGGAGTTTAATGCATATGTATGTCCATGTGAGCTCAGAGTTTTCATGGTTACCGCACACTCACATAAATGATTTTAATGCAGTAAAAGTCCAGAAGCTCCAGCGGCGTTTACTGCGTTATTTTATACAACAAACCACCTGGAACGTTTGTCCTTCCCCTCCGGTTCCTGAGGTCAGGTCCACACAGGCTGTGTGTGTGTGTGTGTGTGTGTGTGTGTGTGTGGCAGGCCTTTATTGCGAAACGTCTCACACTTCTCATGACAGCTGGCTGAGTAGTTGCCAAGTCGTCCCTCTCTCCAGTCTGAGCTCATTCTCCGCAGCCATAAAGGCAGATTAAAGTGCATCCAGTCTGGACATGTGACACACGAGGACACGCGCTTCACAGTGGTACATGTGCCGGGGGGTGAGGGGGGGTGGGGGTGGTTGGTGGTTTTCTCTGGACCATGTTTCCAGTCCCAAACTGCTGACTGGCTGCTGCTTTAACTTTCTGAATCGTTGAACACGCTCCGACCGTTAAAACCAAATTTACGTTCACGACGTTTCCGTTCTTCTCTCTCGTTTAGCAAAGACTTATTTTCTAAAAGGTAGTTAACTGTTTAATGAGCCTAAAAACGTTGCTGACTAATTCCGCCGTCTCTCAGGAGGATTTAACGCTCGTTTCCACCTAGAGCTGGAGAATTTCTGTTAAGAACCAATTAAGACCTAAACGGCGCCTCAAGTCTTTGGGAAAAAAAAAAAAAAAACGACCTACTTCATTACATTAGGCCGTCGTGAATCTACTGAATATAAAATACCTTAATATATTTGCACACTTTTATATTCCTTATGTCAACTTTTTATATTATGAAGCTTCGAGCTCTGTGTGAAAAAATTATATTAAAAATGATACAATCATTAAGGCTGTCAAATGTGATTAATCACAGGCCTGTTGTGGATTAATCATGATTAATTGATATCTCACATTATACACAAGAGGTCCTTACATTTTGTTTTTACATTTTTCTAGAATAAATATATTTAAAAATATCTAATCTCCATATATCTCACAATATTCTTTACTGAATTCCATATCATTTTTAGTTACTTCAATAACAAAAATAATTTTGTTACTCTATTATTGTAGAATAGTGATAATTTATAATCTATTATTAACAAAAATTTGTTATACATTATATTCAAAGCTCATTTGTTTTTTCCTGTTGGCAGAAAA